GTCAATACTCTGGCCAAATTTTAGTAATAACAGAGCTAAATGTAGCTGTACTTGCAGTTCAACTGCAATTTTCTCACCATTACCTGAGGCGTCAAACCAAAATTCTGTTCTAATTTACTGATCAAAGTTAGAAATAGAACTTTCGCACTGTCCTAATATGTAAAGACAAATGGTGGAGATTCCAGAAGTGCCCAAATCCATCAAGGGACAGGACGTGTGCATACCGCTCCACTAATCTTGTTTTGTGAAGCAACTGCTAATTTTTCAGTGCGTTCATTTTGAAAGTCTACAGATAAAAACCAACAGAACAAGTGTGAATCAATGGAGTATCTTCCTTAAGGGTTTCTGATCTTATTCACATGACTTCTCCCTTTACATTTAGATGAAGAAATGCTTTTCCAGAGGTTATTAGCGATCTGAAAATAATCAGCTTAATCTCTGTGGCTGTGACACGTTGTATTGCTTCCCCTTGTCTGTTGATCAGATACATACACGTACTAATACCCAGGAACTTAGGAGCAAGAACCTGAACGTCCCGTGGAAGCAGTTTTGGGGGTGAAAGGGGGGAAATTAAGTTGTTGAAGCAAATTAAAATATCTAGATTATATCTGAATTTGATCTCTGAATTGGACTGAATAAAAACATACTGATAGTGAATAATACTTATCCAAGAATATATTATATTCTCTAACAAAAGAAATGATTTTTATATACCGCTAGCAATATCCTAACATAACAACTTGTATTTGATCAGAAATGAAAAAAAATTATAAGCTTTTAAAGTGCAAGCATTCTCCCCCTTCCAATTACCTAGTGTAGGGGATGTTTTAGATCTTGAATGTCCTGTGTTAATGAGGCAGAAAATATCCTTCACAGAGTATGCTTTCAATGCTCTCATCCTGCGCTAGCATTATTCCATTATCTTTGTTATTTCCAACCGGAAGATATAGTCTTTTATGTTTAAAAGCTTTTTTTTAGCAGAAGGAAGATTAGTATTCCGTAAGGAAGTGATCCCAGCCCTTCGTTAAGGGACAAAACCTCTCATACGCTTTGCGTCACAGTCTAAATGCAAAAGCCATTTGGGGACAACTGGGCGTCTGTACAGACGCTAATCCCTATTTCCCCCATTTTAATATAGGTGAAATCTCCCCAGCTGTTGTACTTACCATTTTAAAAACTGTAGCCAAGTACATCATTGTAGGCATATGTATTGTGATCTGATTGCCAAGTATTGCTTTCGTTGCTGCTTTCACACAGCAGCATGATTTTGATGGGGAGAACACCATATTTCTCTCTTGCCTGGAAAAAAAAACAATTGGGAAAGATATCACTGGAAAAAGCAAACCCATCAGTAGTTTGTGGAAAATGAGATGCAGTATAACTGAAACTGCCACTGTATTTGCATAAAAAGTCTGTCAGTGTTTCGCTTTAAAGCTTGTTAAGTAGACACAAAGGAGCTTATGTATTAAAATGTTCAGCCACCAGATTATTTAATTACTGAAGTGTATAAAAACTTGAAGAAAATGTGCTACTTCAAACTCACAAGGGCTAAATATATTTAAATAATTGGCTCTTCTGACAATAACAGTGTTGCGCTTTCTCTTGTACTACACTTTCTTCAAAGATAACTGTTGTTTTCAGTGAGTGTTTTAACTTTTAGTATTTCCATGTACTAAAGGGCTGATTTAGAAATCCAACGCTGATTTGTATTTAAGAGAAGAAAGGTTTACTTAAGAGCTTTTGTTCTCTAACTCCTCCCTGTTCTACCCCATTCTAGTGATCCATAGTAGTACACAGTTAGGGAAGATGTACCTGGATTAAATTGGTGCTTAAACTGGGCCAGTGCGGATTTGCTGTTATTCAGCAATCAGCTGAATATAACTGCATCGATTTTAATGGCCTTTTTGCCACAGGCTGAATTTGGTGCAATTTTAATTTTATGCTGGACATTAAACAAAGCTAGTGATTTATATTTGTCTCACTTTGAATGCGCATGTGACGAGCGCTCAAACTGTGAATGTGTACACGCTGAGAGTGCTGTGCGGAGACTTTTGTGCCTCCTAATCCTGCTTTCAGCTGAGCACAGCAAGCGGAGAGTGCCGGAGAGCTGCCCAGGGAGGAGGGAACCTTGCAGTTCACTAAGGGATGTTTCCAAGTTTCTTGTGAGTGCTGCCACTACTTTGTTTTTTTTCTGGATTTACTTTATTTTCTTTTTTTCTTTCCCTTTTCTACTTAGGAAGCTTAAAATAAGTAATTTTTGTTGGCGCTTTCCTTTCAGAAGCTGTTTTAGCTCTTGGCTGTGTGGTATTACTCATCCCTCCCCTCTTACTAGTGCTTTTACTTCATAAAGATGCTTACTCTCTTCCCTTCCCCTTCTCTCCGTGAAATCCAACTCCCAAGAACAATAAAATCTCTTGAAGTAGGCTTTAAGACTATCTCACTTTTAATGGACAGATTCCTGCATCCATAAGGCATAGGAAAAATCTTTCCTGCCTTAGAAAAGTATGCCAGTGAAACGTTTCACGACATGTTCTCCCAAACTGGAAACAAAGAGAGAGCTAAATGGTGGGCCCGCAGTCAGGGCTATGTGGGGTCCTGTGCTCTTCACTCGATTACCCTGGAGTGCTGTCATCCTCCATGCAACAATGGCACTGTTGAAGATCACTCCAGGTATTGCTCTGAAAACAGGCTAGCTTCTAAGAGAGATTTTCTTTTCTTCCTGTCCTGATTTCCTCAACACCTCCTGATCCTAAGAAGCTATCAGCAAGCCTTGTGGTACCTTCCTGATTTTAGCTAATGATATATTGTTTAGCTGTACGATACTGTTTAAAAGCGGTAAAACTGGTGCACAGTTGATTTATTTGAAGTTTGAAATGAACCAGCAATAAAGTCAAAGAACAACTACATGCTGGTTCTCGTTCTTCCTTTTATTTCTCTTTCTTAGTTATGTCCAGCTACGATTTGACGATTTCTTTCAGACTTATTTTGTCAAAGCAGTGGTTTTACAGCCAGTCTTACTTTTCTGACGTATTATTTTTAAGAAGTTTTCACTCCCTGAAGGAAACAGCTGAGGCAAATTAAAAGAGTAATCATTGAGCATGGAGCTGGTGTTGAGTTCAAATATTGGTCTTTCTGCTGCTTCTGTTTCTCAGCCAGCTCACTGCATAAGTTCGTCAGATTCCTCCTAGATCAAGGCGTTTCTTCAGGGTGAAGCAACAAGGATAGCTGGTTGTGTCTGTGCGAGAGGATTAAAAAGAAACTTTTACTGAGTCTATATCCTGTTAACACACTGGATTGAGTAAGAGAGGGCCATACCAGAGTTGTCTTTGCACCATTGATGTGTTTGGCTTTCAGCTCGTGGCTAGGAGCTTCATGGAATCGAACAGCAGCAAACTTACTGGCACAGTAATCCTGCTGGAGGAAACGGGAATTATCTAGTAGTAAAAAAATAGACTAATGCCTATTCCAAATTCCCAAGGGGAGAATAGTGATTGACTCAGCTAAACCGATTGAAGACTGTAGATTTATCTGCCGAACTGAAGCACTTCCTGGTGTGTAAGTTGAAAAGGAAGTCTTGTAATGTGTTTGAGTTCCTGCATATTCTGTTTAAACACTGCAGTTGAAAAGTTTATCCCATGTAAGTGGACTAACAGCAGTCAGTTATTTTTGCAACATAAAAATATTTATACCTTTATCTAAAGTCCTTTTTAAGTTACCACCCTTATTAGTCCAGAATCGACTCTTTCTTTTTGCTCCATCTCTTCCGGACTGAGCAGTATCTTTCATCACCAATGCCTATGTAAATTCATTTGCCAGTAATCTAAGGGAGTAATCTAGCAAACATCCATCAGTGTCAAATGTTCCCTTCTTCCTCCAAATACGTTTTTGGTAGAGTTTAGTCAATTTTTCAACATTTTCTCTGGTGTCGTGCAGAGTTAGAAATTGCTGTGTTCTATGTGCAAAGCTGTAATAAGGCAGTTGCTGGTCTAACAGGCATTTTCTGCGTCTCCTTTTTAAACGATTTATCTAAGCTTGGAAAAACTGTAAAATATTTTGATTCATTTTAAGGCTAAACCTGAATAGATGAAGTAAATCACTGAAGGACCCAGTTCCGCAAGGTGGAACCCTTGGACTCGCCCTGAGACTCCCTGCAATGGTCATACCCTGAAATACTGCAACATCTCTAGGGAAGATTTGTGGTTATAAAGAAATGAACGCTTGGATTTCTCTAAGAGTGCTCTGTGACTGTCGTGATGCGTAGCTACAGATCTCTAAACTGTGAATTGGCCTGAAGTTCCCACTACAGTCACAATGTGGCCATGATCCATTTTTGTCATTTTTGGAAGAAAAGCCTTGGTAGTCTGTAGGAAGAAAAGAGAACTTGATTTACGTGCACGTAAGCCTATTACGCTGGTAAATGTGAATACATCTCCCTAAGGTCTGTTTTGCTGAAGCTCAACTGGGTCTCTGTTTTCATTTATTTCCAGTCTTAGCTGCAGGCTAAATTATACCATGACAGTTTTTTCTTGTTGCAGTTTAATCCATTCTGTGGATTTTATGTGTTCGGAATTTTTCTTATTGCAGAAGATCAGTGTGTATGATCTGGCAGATGCTTATAAAGATATTTTTTTAACACACTGTTAGTGTGCTGACTGGTGTATTTTGATTACCATAGCACTCTACAGTGAAGTTGCTGACCTGACAGCTCAGAGGTGAGAGCTTTTCATAGTTTCTTAATGCATTTTTGTTAAAGTCTATTAGAAAAGTGTTTTATAATCTGTATCAGAAATGTCCTGAATATCAGAGCGTTTGGTGCTGAGGTTTTAGTTTTGATCGTCATACCGGGAAGTCAGAGGTCTCATCTCAGTACAGGTTTGGATTTGTTTGTCTCTAGTTTTGATTTAAAAAAAAAAAAAAAAAAAAAAGTTTAGCAGTTGGCGGCTGGCATGTGAAACATTTAATGATCCCACAGAGATTAACAAGATCTCTTTTTTGGCAATTCAGAAGCATTTCTTCTTTCATCATGTTTCCCCTTCCTTGGGCAGTTGAAAAAAGAATGATTGTATGCTGGTACTCAATGTCGGCATTTAGAAGTAGCTGAAAACATGTCCGTGTGAAGGTTTGTATATACTATAAAAGCATTCTCCAGCTGCTGTGGTACAGTTATAGCAATACATGTTACCAGCTGCCTTTTAACCATCACGTTAGCTTTGACCACTCTTACCAAGGTTAGACAGTATAACTGCTCCTGCGTGGCTCTTACAGGTGGAGCTGGAACGATGTGAGAGCAAACACACGGATACGAGACCAGAGAGGCCCAGCGCACTGCCGCCCGCTGCTGCGGTGAGTAACACCCTGCGCGCAAGTTCTGAAAACAGTGCCTGACTGTCCTTCTGGAAGTGTGTCTTGTTGGCCAACCTCCTGCTAATTGGCTGTGAAGCAAAGCCTCCACAGACTGGCTGCTCTGGCCAGCAGCGCACCATGGAGGCATTCCCTCAGCATCTGATGGCGAAAAGCAAAGAGAAGCGAGGCCTGAGTATGTTTTGGCCTTTTGCCACATGCTAAGAAACGCTCCTGTGTTCAGAATCTTGCTACGATGAGCACAGGCTGAGTTAAGGAGTTCATCTAGCCAGTGATTTTCTGCGTGGTTCTGCCAAAAGAAAAGTCAGGGAAGTCAAATAAACTCAATACTAAGCTCTGCTGCAGCTATTTAACATCCCAGCCCTTCCCATTTCTCAATCCCTGCCAAGCTAGGGAACACAAATCACATTTATGGTTCCTTTTGAGTTGTGCATGTGACATGGGTTTGCAGTGTAACAAGATTAGTTTTCCTGGTAATCCTCTTTGAATGTCCTTCCTTTGATTGTCTTTTCATCTTTGGGTGTTCTGAAACTTGGATTAATGGGATTGAGACTTATTGCACAAGTCCTGTTTGATAAGCTGCTTTCAAGACTTAGTTGCCTACAAACTTCCATTTCATTTGGAAAAAGCATTTTGATGACAGCTGACTTACACAAGGGTATGCCAAACATACTATAGCGTTTATGTGTGTACCTGCACAGCACGATGTATCTTTTTAGAGCCTACCAGATAAGGAAGTGAAGAAAACAAGATAGGCTTATTTCAGTGTGTCTCATGTGGCTTCTCCATGCAGATTTGCAGAGGGACTTGGTTGTATGTTTGCAAACTAGTTTACAAATTTGCAATGTCTTCTCTTGTTTTCATCACATTTCAAGCACCATCAGCTATCCCTGTCACTGATCCTACAGGGTGTAATTTACCTTGTAACCAGTTTGATCCATTTCCGTTTTTCACTGAATCCGTTTTTAGTTAGTAGAAGCTCGATCCCGAAGACAGAGCTGGTTGCTTTGCCAGTGATGTGACAGGTCATACAATGTGAGCACTTCATACGACTTGACCAAATGGGTGACTGAACAAGCTTTGGCTGGTGCCTCAACCTAACTAACGCATTTCATGAACAGAGTCGCTGAGGCACGGAGCTATTGCATGATTTTGACCTACGGAGAGTCTAGAGCAGAGCTGGTTGTTGCAGAGCTCAGATTGTTCAATTCTTGTGCCCAAAAGACCACCCTGCAAATGTAAAACTTGTAGTGGTGCCTCTGGCCGCAGCGGCCATCGGCGAGAGGGAAAACACCCTGCTTGGCCAAGCTTTCCAAACGGGACTAGCTGCGTGCACGTAGTGCAAGAGCAAAGGATGCTGAGAAATGCCTTCAGTGTGTTTCCAAGAATGCCATGGGGCGTTCTCCAGGTGTCTCCACTAGGTATGGATGGCTATTCACATCTCATTTCTGAGGTGAATGTATAGCTATACAATCACCCCACGCTGCTGTGTTTGGGTGTATGGTTTACAGGCAGCGGCTCTCGTTCAGCATGCGTGCTTTGCTCTCCGTTCCTTTCCTCAGATTTACTCCGTTGCCTGTCTGTGGCCACCGCTGTCCCTCTTAATGCTGAATAAAATACACTTGCTGTTGAGTTGGGGGATCTGGAGAGTTAGGCCTATGATGAGCGTTTTCCCCGAGCTTTGTTTAGGATCCGTTTAACAATGTAAAAGGACACAGACCATCTTTTCAGTCCGTTTCTGCACTCACAGGCAGGAAGTAGTGACAATCCGTGGGGTTTGAATTAGGTGTTCTTGTTTTCCAATATTTCACCTTAGAAAATTTAGCCCTTAATACTTGTCCAGTTGAATCAGCGATGGTTTATTTCATTTAGCATCCGACCTCTGAGAATGATCCTTCAGAAGGGAAGAATTAAATTCAATTCATATCATACACGTTTGTGGGCTACCATTTAAAGTAAATTTTCTGCCGTTGAAGTTGTGGGTTGCCAGGATCAGTAGCTGCTGCTTTGCGTTTGAGTTGGTGGATAAGCTGCTACAGATACTTTTTATGTGAATTTTCAGCATGATAAATATATTGGATAATAAACCTGAGCTAAAATGAGATGAGGTCATAGTCCTGATTTTGCTGCTCCGTTTGCACATGCCTTTGGATAAGGCACTAAACATCTCAGAACCGTATTTTTTCCTTCTGAGAAAAAATAACCCAGAAAACTAAGTAAAAGCATCATGCTTGTCCATCCTGGCGAGGCACTTTAACGCGTATCGAGGCTACAAGCGCGAGGTGCGCGCTGCACTCTCCCGAGTTAAATCTCTGAAGCTTCCTGCCTTGTGAAATATAATGTTATGGACTCTCAGTGGTGGCGGGGTGAGTCAGGGCCGCTGCCAACAGCGGGGGAGACCTGCCGCCACGCGGCCCCACGGCAAACCGGCCGGCGAGCTGAGGGCGGCAGAGGCCTCTCCTCCTCCTCTTGCCTGAACTTCCTTTCTGGAAACGTGTTTGCCTGAGAACTGCTCAGAAGAGCTCTTTAGGTGCTTGTTTCTCTAGCATTTGGCAAGGTTTTCTCCTGTCCCATGTGCCTGTTCAGCTGGCCAGTCCTTTTAGGGGAAGGAGTTGCATGAGTTCACTTGGTCCATGTGTATCTGGTGCATGGAGAATGAGCGTGTGCCATGGCTGCCACAGATGTGCAGCCATGTAAGTTAGTAGTAACTTGCTGGTGTGCGTGATGACCCAACTTTTTTCCCCATCAGAGCGACAGTGTTGATTTCTCACCACTCTAGCCAGATCTCGTCTGATACACCAGCGGAGAGGCACTGCTGGGTCCTGTGCCCCCGCAGGGCTCGGTGCTGATTGTGCTGATTGTTCCCTTTGCTTTTAGTCCTAGGCCCCTGCAGAGGGGGTCGTGGTCTCAGGCCTGCTGGGGAACTCGTGCGAAGGCTGTAGCAGACCGGGATCAGTCCTGGTGGCTGCACCGTGCTTGAGCCGCTGGCAGGAGGGATTGGTAAGTCTTTAGGCTGTGCTACACGCTAGTGGAAAAAATATTTTTGCAGGGAAGTTACTTCTGAAATGCTTTGTCAAGTTATTCTCGCTGGGGACTTAACTTATGCGCAGGTTTGAGCATTAATCCAAGTATCGTGGAGCTCCTCCACAAAGGTGTCCTTAGCGGAGGTGCCGCCACAGGGCACTGTGTGCCGTGTGTCCCTCCCTCCCGGGGTGCCCGAGGGGCAGGCGAGGCCTGGGAGCGGGGACCAGCACGGCAAGGAACGGCTTCCTGCACCAGGGCAGGATGGCAGGGTTGCAGCTGTGTCCTGCTTGTGTCCCTGGCAGGTGCCATGTGTCCGGAGGGCTCAGGACCAGGCCACGCGGCGTGGAGACGTTTGGGCAGCGTGCTGTTCAGGGCAGCTGCCCCAGCGTGGGATGGGAGCCAGCCTGGCTGAGGTAGATCCCTTTGGAAGAGGCGCTGGTGAGTTATGGAGTCTTTGTGCTCTGCCCCTTGCTGGCAGGTATGTGGTAGTGCTCACAGGAGAAGCCACGTGTGTTCATGGCCTAGCAATTTCCTCTGCATGGGGTCTGGTAGCTGTATGGCGTTTACTGCTGCATGTGGTACTTCCTTTACACAATGAGAGCACAAAGCTCACGTGGCACTAAAGGCTGGACTGGACGTACAAAAGCAACGGGACTGGATGCTTCCTGTTTGCACAGCACAGACCTGTTTGTGGTCTCACTAATCTCTTGCTCTGCCTCAGGTCGCCTCTCTTTAGGTGCTTGTTTCTCTAGCATTTGGCAAGGTTTTCTCCTGTCCCATGTGCCTGTTCAGCTGGCCAGTCCTTTTAGGGGAAGGAGTTGCATGAGTTCACTTGGTCCATGTGTATCTGGTGCATGGAGAATGAGCGTGTGCCATGGCTGCCACAGATGTGCAGCCATGTAAGTTAGTAGTAACTTGCTGGTGTGCGTGATGACCCAACTTTTTTCCCCATCAGAGCGACAGTGTTGATTTCTCACCACTCTAGCCAGATCTCGTCTGATACACCAGCGAAGAGGCACTGCTGGGTCCTGTGCCCCCGCAGGGCTCGGTGCTGATTGTTCCCTTTGCTTTTAGTCCTAGGCCCCTGCAGAGGGGGTCGTGGTCTCAGGCCTGCTGGGGAACTCGTGCGAAGGCTGTAGCAGACCGGGATCAGTCCTGGTGGCTGCACCGTGCTTGAGCCGCTGGCAGGAGGGATTGGTAAGTCTTTAGGTTAACTGTGTTGTTCACTAGTTTTGCAAAAGCTTTTTTTTGGTTTGTGTTTTTTAAGGAGGTTGCTTCTGAAATGCTTTGTCAAGTTATTCTCACTGGGGGCTTGACTGTGATGTGTAGATTTGAGCATTAGCCTAAATACTATGCAGAAGTATTGCAGCAGGGTCCCTTTGCCTTGTGTTGTTCCTGTTCCATGGTGTCTAAGATGGCAGGTGAGGCTAGTGAACAGGGACCAGTATTGCAACCAAATAGCAACTTGGTGGTCTCTCAAAGAGACTTGCTTAGCTGTATACAAAATATTTTTTGAGTGTTGGCACCTGCCGACACCTTCCTTTACCATCTTTCCTGCAGCGAGTAATGCCTTATTAGTAGATATGGGCATGAAGATTTTTCAAAAGTAATCAACCGTCTTTAAGCTGAAGAGCATCTGTTACTCTGTGGGATATGATGACTTCAGACTTTTTTCCCCATCAGATCGACAGTGCTGATGCAAACTTGTGTTTAGCCAGATGGTCTGATTCCACAGATGAAAGATGCTTCTTTTCAGTTCCTTTTGTGGTTGTGTATTAAGACTACACGCTCATGCACCTGTATGTTTAGGGAAATTGCATGTGTGCTGCCTGCTTTGAAGGCAGGCAGCACTGGAGGGTGCTGTCTGCACATGTCCAAGTAACACTGATTGTATAATACTGGCATGCATAAAAGATTTGTGAATCAAAAGTGAAAGAGTTCTTGCTTTCAGGAAATCTCAAGTCACAGAAATGGCTGAGAGCTCAGACATGCTTCAGTTAACTGTAACTTGAGTGGCATAAGCATAGCTTGTTTGTTTTCCCACCACCCCACTTCAGCAGCATTAAAATGAGGTACTGTTAGAGTCAGGAGGCTTTCGTTCTCTCTCTCTCTGTAGCGAGTGAGAACTTTTCTCCCGTGCCTGGGAGAGGCATGGAAGTCAAGTTTCAAAAGATGCCCTTATATTTGGGAGGGGTGTAGGATGGGGTTTTTGTTGTTTCTTAAACAAGGAATCACCTTTGGCTTCTGAAAAGTTGGCTTTTTGATTAGGACTGATGTCACAAATGCTCTAGAAAACGTTTGTAATCGAAGTTTGCGTCATCGAATGAACAGCTGCTGTTACTGGCTTCGTTCACCTGGTCTTAGAGCCTGGTCTTGCTGTTCAGGTATCTGATGGGCAGCTCTCGCAGCTCTAAGGAGGCTAAAATCTCCTTGGTTGCTCATATTTGTGAAGAACATAAATGTGACCCTTTTGTGTGGCACACTTGAATTCAAAAGGAGTGTGAGTGGACTGTCAGGTGGCCGGGCTGGTAGAGCTGACCAAACCTGTTAATCCAGCACCTTCAGCTCAGTCAGCTCCCCATAGCTTTTATCAAGTACTTTTCTGTTGTCTTTGGAGTGTGTGTCGGTGCAGGAGTTCTTGGGATGTCTGCAGAACAGCTCTAAGTAATCTAACAGAGTCATCTAACAGAGTTTTGAGGGGTTTGGAAGCTTTATGGTTGTGCTGTTTGAGGCAGAGTGAACTGACAAAATGTTGGCTTTTTTTTTTCTTGACAGGTTGAGATTTGTCAGAAGTTGCCCCAGGACCTGCTGTGATCTCAGTGTGTACTAGTGGGAAGCTATCCTCCTGCTGATGATAGCCCTCTCCGTTGCTACTGTCTGTGATCCCTTGTCTAAGCTACAACATCCATATCACCCTGCAACAGCTCTTTGGTCTTTTCTCACAGCTAGCAGGGAGTGATAAATTGGTGTCCTGCCAACTCACAGATGGAGGGTGGTGGGTTTTTTTTTTTTTCCCCTTCCTCAGTTTGAAGCATTTAATTGTAATGGATGCTGGAACTTGCTGCAACTTTAACATAATCTGGTGCTTCTGCCTGCAAGGGCAGTATTCACCACCTGAGAATTAATGTTATCTTGCTGCTATCTTTAAAAGTACAGAAGTCTCACCTTAGAGAGGAGTTGTCATGTATGGGAGGGTGGCCTTGTGTTTAAGGTCAATTCTCCTTTTCTAAGAGTGAGGATTCAAATCTTAGCTATCCCCTGTTAACTCAGTAAGCTTTAGTAATGTGTCACTGTCTGCCTGTAATATGAGGAAGGGACCTCATGGGTGCTGTGGTGTAGTCTGAATTTCTGTACTGTTTAGAGCTTACTTTTTAATAAAATCTGAGTATTGGGCGAACTGAGCTTGTGGGTGCAATTCTCTCTTTACACGTTTCAATTAGCTAATTTCTAGATGTCTTAATCCTTATTTTTGGAGTCTAATGGCAGCAGTGCTTCTATGTAGTGACCTCTTACATGGAGCTGCCTGCTGCACCAAGCTTTAAAAAAAGGGTGGGAGGAGCATGGTCTTACAGCACTATAGCTAATCTTTGCTTGACCTGCAGTAAAAGGACTTAGCTAAGGCTCGTGGCTGCTGGTCTGCCCCCAGGAGACAGCACTGGGGCACCCTTCTCTGCTGGGTGCTGAAGATACAAGTCTGCGTTCTGGACCCAAGGGAGAGGCTTGGTCTGGACTTAGGCTCTGCTGTCATGGCAAGGGCTGTCCCTCAGTTTTTCCCTTAGATCCTGGATGGGGAACAGCTGGTGTGGTACATAAAATCATTCAGTTGAGGATTTTCCCTAACCTGGTAAAAGATGCAGGTTGGCATGCTCTCAGGTAAGTCATGTGGCGCTGCAAATTCTCTGTGCAGGAGTCCTAGAGAAAGGAGATAGCAGTCTAGGAGAAGAAGCAGATGTCAGGGCTGCTGTTGAGGATTAGGATGTTTCAATCATGTGTGCAATTTGATGAGCTATCAGGAATGACTGTGCTTCTGGCTAGAAGGACTGTTCTAGTGACATGTTCATTCAGATCTTGAGCCTTCACCTGGATGCTGTTCTGTTGTCTCTAGTAGCTCTGCGGAATATGCACGTGTGGTCTCAGTGAGAACAAAAAAAAAAATCTTACCTGTAGTGTGTGACATCTGGATTGCCATAGAGGAGCTGAACAGTGGCGAGTGCCTCCTGCTAGGAGGGAGAAGGCATTCTCCATCTGCTGTGTCTGCTAGCCTGGCAATCGGGAGTGGTGTCTGCATGGTGCACAGTCAAACAGGCCTTGACAGATGTCTCGCCCAGGTCCTAGTCTGGTAGGATTTGTACACCCTGCTAGCGATGCAAATGAAGTAAATATCCCCTTCAGTTCAAGCCGACATGAAGAATTCGGATATATGTTAACCTGCAGTGTCTAAAACAGCAGGTTCAGATTTAAACCCCAGGCCTAATGATGAAAGTAGTTGTTCCTCATGTGCTACTGTGGGGAAGTCGCGCAGCAGGTATGCCCATTAGGAATGGGGTTTAAAACCAGTTCTCCTGCAGCCTCATTAGGTTCCTGAGGAGCAGGGCCACCTGGCAGCTGCTGAAAGTTAAATGTGTTGCTACTTCTGGGCCTGCGGAAGCCTGGCCACGTATGCAAATAGTGTGTGGCTGCTGCCTGAAAGCAGCTGGGTACACATGTATAAAGGCTGTTGCGAGCAAGCTAGCCCAACGGTCACAATTACTCTCCCTTAAGTAGTTGAGGGGCAAGTGCAAGGAGCAGGTAATGGGCTGAGGAAATAAGGAATGATTTCCTGCAGTGTTCAAAGTATAGCCATGTTATTTTTAGTGTCTGGCAGCAACAACCTAATTAATACTCTAATGGATTGGAAATTATTTATGGCAAGTACAAGTTTGTAGGGTGTTTCTGCTATTTAAAACCATAAATAACAATTTATGTGGTTAAGGGAGGGGTTTGGTAGCTGAGCTGGTGGTGGCCTTTAGCATATGTGTTCAGCGGTGGTGAAAAATTACCTATCGATCAACGTTTAAAGCAGTCTTCCATTAAACTGAGTAGAGGTTTTTTTTTTTTTCCTTTAATACAAGCAGCATTATCTTTTGAAACAGAATGTATTGATGAGGGATCAGAATTCCTGTTAACACAATTACTTTAATAATATGAGCGTATCTAACAGAAAACATCTTTTAGATTAGGGATTGAAGGCTGTCGAGTGCTCCGTGGGAGCTGTGAGGACAGACTTAAATGGACTTTATTTGCATGTTTCATTATTTCTCTCCAAGAAGAGATGCTCAGGTCAGGATTCAAGCATTGCTGCGACTGCACGTACAGATGGACAACAAAACTGTATGAAGATAACTCACCCGCTGTAAGCAACTCGTGAATGCTCTTGAGTCTGGTTGCAGGGAAAAATGAGCCTGGAGGAACTGCATGCAACAGGAACTGAATCCAGAGGTTTGCTCTGACTGGGGAGCTGTAGGGGATGCTCAGTGTGCAATGTGTTTTCTAAGGCTTATTAAGGGCCTGTTGGGGGTTTCTCCCTCAAACTGTCAGTTTGTTTGAATTACTGTGTGTATTTATATATAGTCATCACTCCTTTTGTTTTCCTGTAGTTGGATGCTTTCAACTTATCTCTACAGCAGTGTGTTGTAATAACTAAACCTTTGGATCAGTGATCGTTGGCATATCTGACAAGAAATCTGACAAGCTGGAGACAAGCCCTGAAAGTAACATACAAGTAAATCTGAACTTGTCAAGAGGCTTTTATTTAGGTGGTTAGAGCTGGAGGAGGATTTCTGTACTGACAGACTTTTGTTTCAGAGTCTTGATTTTGCCGAAGTTTTTGATACACCTCTAAACTTTTAGGCACCTTAGGTATCGCTTGATTATTCATCTGCTTCCATGATGCTTTCTTCTGGAACTACCTTGGGTGTAGATGGCCTACCCGCCACTCCTTCCAGACCTCTGCTCCAAACTCCCATGCACCCTAGGCTGCTCAAAAATGTGAGATTGGATGCATTTACCAAAAATCTGTCTGAATAGAGCTTCAGGAAAATGAGGATATTGGTAGGCCTGACTACCAATAGTTGCAGTACAGGGATCCCCTTCTCTGGTACTACAGCATCATCTGTGCTGTTATACAGGATATCCTACCTTCCCCTGCTGCTTCTCCCTCCTCCCAGCACCCATGATAATGGAGCGCTGGCTGAGCTTGGTTGTGGCCAGATAATTAAATCCTGCATGTATCCGTAAGCTATTTAAAGATGTGGGCTGCAATGGACCTCTCAATACAACTGTATTACTGCCAAGTAATGATCTAGGCCTCCTAGGTAATAAGGGAACCATAAAATGAGCTGTATACCAAGCATGGATTTATGATCACCCCATTTGAAAATCTCGTCATATAGCCCTTGGATAAAAGATGGGGAGGATTAATGCTGAATTTAAAGCAAACTGTATCTGAATTCCTTTCCTCAGAGCTGTCATTGGCATTTCCTGCCCCAGCGCTTGCCTGACTTTGCAGGCACTAGTCAACCCCTGCGTGTGGCTGCTAGGTGTTTTGAATGAAAAGATGAAGGCCGGTATGTTTTGGACAAAAGCTGATTTACAGCTTGTTCAGATTGTTTCTCTACACAGAGGCAGGCACAGAAAAATTCCAGCATATCCAGAGCTCTTATGCTGCTGCTCTGAAGTAGTTGAACAGGACCCTGGGGACAAAGAAGAAATTGTCAGTTCCGTCAGTTATAGTGGAAACAGACAATACTGTATATACTTGTTTAACTTTGTAAACCCAAAGTTTGGAGTCAATCACTAGGCTGGTATGTTTAAGCAAATGTTTACTTTTCTCAAACAGCACTCTCTCTTGGTGCCATGAGGGTTTGAGAGGAAAATAGCACAGATTATTTCTCTGGCTGATGTTGCTTTTAATAGATATGTATTTTCATACACAGTGAAGATTTAACATTTATATTCCCAAACACCCAGTCATCTTTTTGACCACATGTTGGCGGTTATATTCTTGTCAGACTCATCTGTTAAGCAGCTGCATTAGAGTATGGGATAACACAGTCCATTTACTCATTGCTTCTGGTACTCTTCATGGCATTATTTCCTCTGTCTCCATTTCTGCTCAGTGATAGATTAAATTATTTGACACATCAGCTGTGTTGACTGGCTAGATGCTATCATAGCAATGAAACAAAACGTGGTTTTGTGATTGCTGTAAGAAATTTCTGCATCCTTGATTTATTATTAATTTATTTTTGGAAGCAGAGGGTTTCTTCCTCTGAAGCACCTTTCTAGGTCAATATTTTTAAATGTATGTCCTGCAGCTGTAGACTCTTACCTGTGTTCCACCTTTTTTTTTTTTTTTTTTTTTTTTTTAACTTTTCCCACCCTTTTTTTTTTTTTTTTTTTTCTGTAACCTGTTCACCACTAGTGATGGGGTCAAGCAAAGTCTCTTGGTCCAGCCTGGCTCTGTGGTTTGGTGCTGTGGGAATCGCTAGCTTGTGTTACAAAACCTGGGGTCCCCAGGCATTTTCTCATCCAAATGTTAGGCACAGGGCGCAGATAAGGCCATGGGTATCCCTTGTGGTATCGCTGAGGCAGTCGTGGTTTAAAACTCCTGATCAAGAGTGAAGAGTGTTAGTTCTATACAAAACACTTTTGCCTCGCTCTCCCCTCCTTGGGCCCATGCCAGTCTCTGAGACCTCTACGTGTGGGGCAGATTTTTCCACATTAAATATAACTCTGGAGAAAAGTCCCAGGGTGCTGGAAACTGTTGTCTTCTCCATGTTTACAGAAATAGATACTCTGGGGTCTGAAGGAATTCCCTTCCCTAGGGTCTCTGCTCGGTGCTGACGTGAGGCTAGCGAGGGCTGGGTGTAGTCCCTGTTGCTCAGGGGCTTGAAGAGCCTGTTGCAATGTGGGTGAAGACCACCCAGGAGCTTCCAGGTGGTGACAAAGGGAGTTTACTTGAGTGGTGATGGGGAAGAGTACTCCTTGTGGCAGACTGTATTCATGGTGTTGATTTGGAGCAACTCCATTGAATTCCCTGAGATTGTTTGGGGTTCATGGAAGCAAGTTCAGGACTGGTTCTCTCTGTTACTAGAGATTTTTTTTTTTTCTGTTGTATTTGGAAAATACACTATACAGTTACTGGGAAGTCTGAACTTCACTTGTGCCTGTTGCTTGCTCAGCTCTGCACGATTTTAAGTCCTGTGGCTGGGTCACCTTGAAGTCTTCCCTCTAGCGCTGAGAATAAATTTGAGTACTTTCGCCTTTTCTCAAAGCAAATATTAAAGCGAGGGGTTGTCCTCATTTCTCTACTTCGCACAGACTCCCTTGGGTTTTTGTAACCTTCCT